GAGCCGTGAGCGAGACTTGTGCCGGCACTGCTGCGGCTCAACACCAGGGCACCCTTAGGACAGAAGGATTGCTACCATCCTCCTTGTGCGCTGCCACAGGGATTTTGATGGTAAGCGGAGCCTGCTGAGTGCAGGTGACCTCCGCTGGCTTGCTCTTCGTGGCAAGCCGCTCCGAGCCCAATACTCAGGTCGATTACCTCTCGGCCGACCGCTTTTCTGCGCCCGCCGTTGTGCCGGTGCCCTCCGTTTTCCCTACAGCTGCCGCTCGGCGCCTCCTTTGTGATCGCGCCGCCTCAGCTACAGTTTTTCAATGGCCAAGCTGGACGTGGACCGCTATGGTGTTCCACAGTACGGTGGCGAGCCGGAGCTCTACGAGGAGTACCAGGAAAGAGCTTGGGATCTATGGTTCGGCCGGGACGGGAACGAGCAGACCCAAGCAGCGACCCCGATACACCTCCGCTCTGGACTTGTTGGCACGGCCTACGCTGCCGTAAGGAAGCTTGACCACGCGAGCTTGATTACCAAGGGCACCGACGGCAAGCCCAACGAGAAAGGACTGAGGCTCCTCCTGCAGACCCTCCGCGACAACATCGAGCAGGAGGCCCCGGTCAAGACCAACGAGCTTTTCTTCATCGCCTTCTACAGCCCCCACGTGTGGCGCCTCCAGTCCGAGACAATGCAGCAGTACATTGTGAGGCGCGAGCAGGACTTCAAGAGACTGGAGGAGGTCCTTGCCGGGGCTAAGATACCGGACCACGTCCGGGCAATGATGCTGCTGGCCTTTGGTGGGCTGGATCCCCGGGAGCAGCTGAATGTGCTGAGCTCTGTGAATAACGAGTACGACTTCAAGAAGATCGCGCACGCGCTCCGGATCCAGTACCCCACCTGCAGCGGCAAGCCTGTGCACCGCCGCGACTACCTTGGATGTGGCAGACAGCAGCCACCTCCCGCTGCGACGGCGAAGTTCAGGCCGAGGCCTTTCACGACGAGGCCGCCGAAGGGCAAGGGCCGTGGCTATGTGCTGGCTGTGCAGGACGAGTCCGCGGACCCCGAGGACCAGGAGGCCTACGTCGAGGAGGAAGGCCAGGAGTACGAGGACGATGCCTACGAGGCCCACGGTTACTCGGACGACGAGGTCCTGGAGAATATGATTCAGGACTACGAGGACCACGCCGACGACCAGGAGCTGGCCGAAGCCTATGCCACCATCCTTCAGAAGAGGAAGCAAGCGCCTGGCGGCGGCAAGGGTCCCAGCCAGCCGCAGAGTTTCCCGTTCAAGGCAAAGGGCGAGGTTGTTCTGGACCAGCAGGCGAAGGAGCAAAGGCGCAACGCGGTGAAGTTCTTGAAGTCGGTCACCCCGTGCTCCGCCTGCGGCAAGAAGGGGCACTGGGCTGGAGACCAGGAGTGCCCCCAGGCAAGCCGAAAGACCGGAAAAGGGGGCGCATCTCCCAAGAAGAAGGGGGCGAACAAAAGACCATCGCCTTCGGCCTTCTTCGTGGACAAGACCGCGACCGCGCACGACGACGAGGAGGAAGCCGACGCCTTCATGGTGACAGTGACCTCCGAGCCCGGCTCCCCCTCGCCTTCCTTCGGCGTCTTCGGCAACCACTTCGAGATGGACAGCGACGACCCAGAGTCCTTTATGACCCTTCGCGCCGAGAACCTCTGCCAGCACTCCTCCTACAAAGGCGGCGACGAGAAGAAGTACCACAGGTCTGCCAATGGACACTCCCGGCAGATAATGTGTAAGGAGCCCGAGTGCGACAAGCCAGTCATACAGGCCAACCGGCGCGAGCCCGCACGGCTCTGGGCCTTCCTCGTGCAGATCGCCTTGTGTACTTTGTGGGGCCGCCGTGCTCGGTCGAGGGCCCTCTTCCAGCGAGTTACCATGGTGCGGGGCGAGGCCCAGGAAGAGCGAGAACGAGAACTTGATGAACTTCGCGGCCGCCGCTCTACCGAAGACCCTCTCGCGAGGCCAGCCGTTGACGATGGAGGTGGCGCAGGG